TGTACTACAATAATTTTTCTACCCAATTATTTTAATTTGTTTAAATTTCATCCAATTAAAATTGATATTTACTTTTAAAATACTTAATAACTATAACTTTTTAAAAATTTTTGAAAATTAACTATCATCCATATTCTGCTAGTAGTTGTGTCATTTGGGGTGATAGATGTTCAAATATAAAATTTCGAAATTGATTTTATTTAGAAAATTACAAGATTTTTCAAAAACAACCCATTGACGTCAAGTGATGCGACTAACAGAATATGAGAGTATGTAAAATAATTTTTAATTTCAATTAAAATTAAAAAATCTGATTTAAAAAATATTGTTTGTTAAATAATGTTATTTAATAATTATAAATTTTTGAAATTAATCTTAATCATATTTTCTAAATTTTTTTTTTTTATTAAAGAAATATTTTTGTATAGAGATTAAATTAATTAAAATTTAGTTTTATTACACATATGACGATTAGAAAATATATTTTAAGAAAAGAAAGAACCGAAAAATAAAAATTAATAAAAATTGGAAAAAAAATAATAATTGCATTTTTAAATAAAAAATTTCTATATAGTTATAAATAAATTAATTTTAAAAATATTAATAAAATTTGTATATAAATTAAATGTATTAAAAAAAAAAATTTGTATCTTTCTTCCGAGTATGAACAAAAAAAAAGAAAACAAAAAAAAAAATTTAATCAAAGAAAAAAAATGTTTTTTTTTTGTAGTCAAAACCATTATTTTTTTTTTTTTATAATTTTGTAATAAATGTGTTTTAAGTAAAGAAAGAAAAAAAAAATATAAATACAAACAAATTTTTGAAACATTACAAAAAAAAAAATATTAATAAAAAGAAAATATAAATAGAACGTTTTTCATATTATGTTATATAACAACAACATATTTAATAACGGTTAATAATTAATTTAAAACCATTTTATGGCATTAATTTACTATAAAAATTTTGTAATTATTTGAATTAAAAAAAAAAATTTTTTTTTAAAACAAACACTGATCATGTCACCATAAAAATTTTTTATTCAAATTTTTAGCATTAAATTTTATTAAGTAATTCGAAAATTATTAATTATATTTTATTTTCATAATGTTTCAGATCAATTTTAATAGAATACAAATTAATTTTAGAAAATTCACTAATAAAATATTTAAAAAAATATACCTATTTTACAATATATATTTTTTTTACATCAACAAGTGTTATAAACAAGTGTTGGTATGTCTTTCTTACACCCATAATTTGTTTTTAATAATCAATTCTTAAAGAGAATCCATTAAATAATAATTAATAATTTTAATTATTTTTACCATTAAATTATTTATACATATTTTTATTATAGTTAATTAGTTAATGCCATCAATCTTTAATGTAACACCAAAACCAAAAACAAAAAAAATTAAAAAAAAATTAATTAAAATAAATTTTTCTTTATAAAAATAATTTCCTTATTTCACACTGCTTTCAATATGAAAATTGAGTGAGATTTAATTATATTTATAAATATCATATTAATAAAAAATTAAAAATATAAAAAAAGAAAAAAAAACTATAATTCAAAATAATAATAATAATGGTAAAATAATAAAAAGTAAAATATTAAAAAAATTAAAAAAAAAAAAATTCCAATTTAAAATCATCGAAACCATAAAATAAAAATAAAATAAAAATTAAAATAAAAGAAAATATTTATAAAAAAATTAATTTAATTTTTTTTTTTTATTTTGCATCTTAATGGAATTGTTTTTAAATTCAAATAGAAAAGAAAAATTAGAAATTGTTAACTAAAATTTAATAAAACACAAAAATAACCAAAAAAAAAAAAATATATTTTCATTACAATATTTTTATAATTTTAATTTGATTACAATAGTAAATAAATTAAATTAATTAAATTTAAATTTTAATATTTAAAAAGAAAATTTAAAGTAAAATATACACTAAGTTCTTGAAATGGGATAGTTTTGATAATAGAAATTTATGTCGTAACTCGAATTGGAGGACAATTCGAGTTACGACAAAAAAATTAATTAGACAAATTATTTTATTAAAATTCACTTATTTTTTTTTTTTTTTAATTAAACAAAACAAAAAAAAAAACAACAAAATACAATAATGAAATCAAAAAAATTCAAATTTGCTTTAAAAATAAATAAATAAAATAAAATCGGACTAAGTTGATATGTATATAATTTCAGTTCATATTTTTAACTAGTGACTAGTGTTTTTAACTCGAAAGAATTTATTATTGAAGCTATAACTAAATTCATTATGGATTTTTATTCAACAATCGTTCAAATCTTTAAATAAAAAAAAAATAAAAAAAATTTTTAATATCGTATAAACAACAATGTCGCAAATGTTATATTATGTCGTAACTCAAATTGTCTCCAGTCCCGAGAACTTAGTGTACATGACTAAAATTGAAATAATCCTAAATTTTTCTTTTATTAATTTATTAATTCTAATTTAATTTAAAAATTTTTAAATTTCTTCAATTCTCATTCAATTTTTCTTTTTCTTCTAATTTTACTTAAATAATTATAAATACTTTTTTTTCAATTAAAAGTTAACAATTTCTTATTTTAAAAATAAAAAAAAAAATAATATGAAAAATAAATCGAAACCCTCTCTATATAATTTTCTCTTTATTAATACACACAAAATCTTCAAAAACATTTGAAAATATTCAAATAAGTATTTTATTATTTTAATTATTTCACATTTAAAAGAACTATATTAAAAAGAAAATATATAACAATGAAAAACGATTTTTATATATAAATGAAATTAAATTGCAAAGTTAAAAGAAAAAAAAAAACAAGAAGAGAAGTATAAATAGTTTCAAAAAAACCATGAAAAATTTAAGAAAATTCTATAAAAATAAAAAGAAAAAAAAAATAATTAATAGATGGTTTAATTTTAAGGTGTGAATGAGGTGCTTTTTGTCAAAAATAAAAGCAACACAAAATTAATTGAAAAAAAATCAAATTATGAAAGCGAATTGAAAAAAATTAGAAATAATTATTCAAATTGATAAATAAAATAAAAAAAACAACAAAATTTAAAACACAATTAAAATAAAAACCAGATTTAAAATAAATTTTTTTTTTTTTTAATTTAAGTAAATTGATTATAAATAATTAAATTTAAAAGAAAAAAAAAATGGTATATATAAATAAAAAAAATTCTATATATATATATACATATATAAAATATACATATATAATTAAGGAAATTAGATTTAATAGAAATGTAAGTTTTTATTTTAGTGTAGCTAAAATAAAATTTAATTAAAAAAAAAAAAATTATATAAGAATTAATTATTATTAAAATAAAGTAATTTCCTTTTTGTAAGTGAATGTGAATGAATGCGAGAATTATATTATAAAAAAAAAAAGTGTTTTAATTTTTAAACAGAAAAAAAAATAATGAAAAAAAAAAACAGGATAAAAATAAATACATTCAAGAAAAGTTTATCCAAATTCTTTTTATTTTAGTAATAAAACTATTTATTAACTTTATTATAACTAACATAAAACCATATAAAATATACAGGAATCCCCTATATCAAAACAACGTATATCGAAAACCCATATAGAAAAAGTATGTTTTTTTACTAGAAAAATACTGATAAATACATAGTTGTACGTTTGCATATTTATTTAAAAATTCGTACATCTAATACATCATACCTTCGTAATTAATTATACATATAATATGTTCGTTTTTATGTAATAATAAGTCTTTAAGTTTACAAAATGTAAATATGTATGTTTTTATTTAGATACATACAACATAGTAACAAATGCAACAAAACATAAAATTAAAGCATAAACAAAACGAAATTAACAAAAAAAAATATAAATATATATCTATGTACTTTGTACAAATTTATGAAAAAAAAAAAAAAGCTCTCAACGACGTATATCAAATCTGAAACAACGTATATTAAGAACGAGGAACAAAAATCTCACCGACGTATATAGGGCCGACGTATATCGAGGGATTCCTGTAATTTATTTGTTATATATCAACGAGAATTAGTAAACCTAAGCCATAATGCATCCAACTTGTTTTAAATCAAAAAGTGGTAAGCATTAAGAGTCAAAAAATTAATGAACTACATAAACAAACCGAAAAAAAAAAAATAAGTAAAAGCTAAAATTAAAAGTAAAGATGGTTGGTACAAAAGGGTCCGGATCAGATTATGTGTCTTGTACGTTGTGCATTAGTATTGCATACATTGTATAAGGAATTTTAAAATTGAATTTTCAGATTATTCTTTTTTTTTATTTGTTTCCAATTAATTTTAGATTAGATATGACTATAATTTGAATTAGGAGTTCACAGCGTGAAATTTTATAAAATTGAAATTATTTAATAACAACAGTCTATTTCAATTATTTACAAATAAATTTTTATTTTTAAATATTTTTAACAATTGCCATTAAAATTACACCATTATTTTTAATATAACAATAAAAAATTATTCCAAAATTTCTTCCGAGTATAATAGTTTTTTATATTGAATTGTTTGAGGAAAAAAAAATGATTAAATAAAGTCAAAATATGAGGGATAAAAAATTCTTTATAAAAGAATTTTTTGATTAAGTGATTTAAAGAAATTTTAATTATAATGTGTATTATATTTTACTAATTATAATAATTACTTATTAATTACTCTTATATGTAGTCAACTAATTTCTCTCATACGGACTTAATAATATTTTAAACAGTGTTATAGACTGTGAAATAGATTAGAAAACAATCATCGAATTAATTTGAAGTAAACATTTCCTCTTTGATTTTGTAATTCAAAAACAATTAAAATACACGTAATTCATGTTTTAGAACCTTACATTTTGATTTCCGAAAATAAGATCGAATTTTATGAATCTGAAATTAAATTTAATGCTTTAAAGTAAGATTTTTTAAAATTGAAGAATTTTCGTCGTAAACCTATATAAATTAACGGAATATTTAGTCATTAATACAGAAATTTTTTTAAATTTAATTTAACTTTATTAATGATTTATAAAAATATTGATTTTTTTTTTTCCTAAAATCGCTTCCTTTTTTTGGCAAAATCTACTTCAGCTACCAGTAACGGATTATTTTTTTTCGCTTCGTAAATGGCTTTAGATCTTGATTTAATTTCGTATGGTTTTTTACTTTTTGTTAATTTGGATATACCAGACAATCTTTTTAAAGGTTCTGGTACAATGTAATCGGGTACATGTGACAAATGCTGTTGAACTTTTACAGTTTTCAATGGTTTATCGTGACGTAAAACTTGCAAATCGCGTGGATTATCTTGAAAGAAACCTTTTAATTTTTCACTATTAAACATTTCAATTTTAATTTCTTTTAATCTAGCTTCCTGAACAGCAACTTTAGTTATCGCACGCCACGCATCTTTTGCTCTATATCGAAATGGTTCTACTTCTTCAAGTTTGAATTGGTATTTTCTAAAAAAAAAAAATAGAAGTAATTTTTAAATAAATCTACATTATTTTTTATGAATTTTTCAAATTAATACTTCATAACTTCATCATCTGTTACATAACCGATACGCAGATATTCTTCGGTTGAATCATGCAAATTTTTCTCTTTAACACTAACAAATGAAAGAACCGTACCCTAAATAAATATTTGTTAAATATTTTATGTATTTAAAAATGTTTTTTAATTATTTTACGCTGTTTGTCCCTCGGGCTGTTCTTCCAGCTCTGTGAACATATGAGCTTGTATCTAGAGGAAAATCAAAATTAATTACGTTTGAAACAAATTGAAAATCAATTCCACGTGCGACTCCAGACTCTTTATCTGATTTCCTCTTGCTTCCTGTTGCCCTTTTCACACCGTTTGTATCTGGATTTTCTAAAGCTTTTTCATCTGACGCAATAATAATATCATATATCCCTTGATTAAACTGATTAACTGAATGAATTCGAATTTTTGCAGGAAGTTCTGAATTTAATATAACGGCTTTTATACTGAATTGTTCAAGAAAAAGTTTAAGTCTGTGAATAAAAGAATTAAGGATTTATTTTGAATTAAATGATTTATTGGAATATAGAAATATATAGAAGGAATATTTTAGAATAATAATTCAGCGAGAAGATTAGGCTATATTCACTTAAAATCACAAACGCAAGGAATGTATTTTATCAATCATAATAAAATTTCATCATATATTCTAGATAAGTAACGTTTTAAGTTGTGTTTTTCTTGTTTTTAAACTTACTTATAACATCTGTCCACAGTATTAACAAAAATTATGCATTTTCCTCTAATCAAATGTAGTTTGAATAAAGCATATAAAATGGCAGCTTTGTCATTTTCCTCGGCTAAAATGTGGTAATGTGATAGTTGACTGGCGGGAGCCATTTCTGGTTCTTCTAATTTCAAAGTAACAGGATTATGTAAAACTAAATTTTTTAAATTTACTACATCTTCACTTAAAGTGGCGGAAGACAAAATTGCCTAAAATGATTAATATTTTAATACACTTCATAAATCAGAGTATTGAAAATGTTTTCTGCTAAATCATTACCTGATACATAGGTGGTAAGAAATCTAAAACTTTTTTTAAATCATTCTCAAATCCAAATGAAAATACTAAATCAGCTTCATCTATAACTAAAGTTTCAAACCCTCTTTTCAATTCCACATTTTGATTTTGTAATTGATTTAAAATTTTTGATGGGGTTGATACTATAATATCTGGTCGTTCTGATAAAAGATGTTTCTGCGCTAATAAATCTATATTTCCCGACAAATCTATACTTCTTACAATTTTGCCACATTTTGATGTAAGATCTTGTAAAACACTTGTTATTTGTTGACATAATTCTTTACTTGGAGCTAAAATCAATGCTGTAGTACACTGTTCTGTAGCTGCGTTTTTCGAATTTAAAATTTTTTGTATTACTGGTATAGAAAAGGCAGCAGTTTTTCCAGAACCGGTTCGAGCTCGAACAAGTACATCTTTTCCTTCTAACAACAGCGGTATTGCTTTCTCCTGGATAAGCGTTGGGGTTAGCCATCCTAAATTTGCTATTGCCTAAAATTAAATGCGAGCTAAATAATTACGTGGAATTGTTTTTCTTTCTCACTTTTTATTATGTCAATATTTTACCTTTAGGATTCTTTCATCTAATTCCATTTGATGAAAATTAATGGATTCCTCGTTTTCTTCGCTCATATTTGGATGTGTAGATAAATGATATTTTTAATATAAATTTTTTTTTATATAAGTTTAATTAGCTGTTAAAAATTAAAATTGTTCATTTATATTTGCTTTATTTCTTGGTCAACACAAACTCAAATTTAAGAACGTGTTTTAAAACTTTTTTGACGTTTTGAGAATAAATACTGTCACAATTCACGTTCAACTTTCTAAGAGTTTAAAAATGAAAATATGAGAGAAAGTTGATTGATGTTTTTAAGTTGCAGCACTTGATATTATTTACTTAAATAGGCACAAAATTGATTGTAGACATTTTGAAATGTGTTTGCAGTATGTTAATGAAAGGTTTGTAGCTAATTATATTTGATTTTCTGTGAGATTTTAAAAACAGTGTAGCGTATACTTGAAATAACAAACATATCCGTATTTCTGCCAGCCGTGAGGGTAGACCAACTTTTTTAAAAATTTTTACTCCGATCATCATCTCAGTTTATAAACTGCAAATATTTAAAATATTGCTGTCCAAATTTGACATATAGGTACATATAAAATTAGGCATTCAATATTTTTTTCGTAATCTTTATTTTGTTATTTAACCAACTTTTTTAAACATCTGATTCAAAGAATAAGAGTTTTTCTGTGTTTCGGTTTCAATACGTCAAATGTTAATAATGAGATAAAAATGTAATAGTTGTAACATCTTTTTCGGTCTTTCAAACTGACATTGGTGAAAACGCAGCTTGAGTTTCAAGATCTTTTCAAGTCAAATACTCAAACTGCCATATAAACGTGGTGTATTATGGGTATTCAAATAAATTAAAGATAGAAGAAATGCATCAAAAAATTAAGACAGTAATTTGTCACACCCCTACTATTTTATCGTTTGTTCTTATTTTGCACGTGTGCTATTCCTAACTGCTTCTTTTTGGTAAAATTTTAAATGTAAGGAAAGAACCTCGAAAGGCAATAAAAATGAAAGCAATCAGGTACAATGCAACTGTACTCTATTGTTTTATATACTATTTAAAATCTTATAAAAAAAAAATTTAAAAATTGTCATCTTTAAGTCCACGATAATTTTTAAATAAATTATTGATGGAACACTGGTTTTGAATAGATTCTTATGCAACATTTAATAAATGTTTAGGTAATTTATATTATTCTTCTTGAGGTTGAGAAGTCGGAAGTGAAATTACATTTAAGTAGCAGTACAAATCACAGCAGGAATTTTTCTAGCAAAATTCGTTCTTCCAAATACTATAAACAATAACCTGCATAAATATAAGCCATAAAAATGTAATTGCAATTTTTTTTATCTAAAACTTTGTAAATGCCGTGTACCCAAATCAGTTTTCGGTATGTATATATTTTTCATGATTTATTCGGCTCGAGTAGTAATTGAAATAATATTCTTTAAATTTTATGTACATATTTTATTTTATTAACAAATTAATTTGTTTGCGAATTCAATATCTTTATTATTAATAATAAAATTTTAATGTAATAAATTTTAATAAACTTCCCTTTTGAAAAAAATTTTATTAAATGTAAAATTGCATACATTTGGGATGATATTTTCTTGAAAATTAATAAATTCAATTTGAAAAGAATTAAAAAATGATCAACATTGGTTGTATAATCAATAACAACAGTAAACCCTCATTAGGTGAAATAATTTAATGGATTTTTAAATGACGAAATTAATTAAAATAAACGAAAACGTTAAGTACAACAGTGCAAGATGAAATTGCATAAGACCCTGTATAGTATAATGGTAAAATTGTAAGGTTTTTCATTTCCTGAAATGTACCTAAATTTTCATGCTTTATTTTATTTCATATGAGCAGAGTATAGTAATTACTCAAACCCCCTTAAGTACGTCTCAAAAAAATCTAAGTTTTGTGAGCAATTATCCGAGTAAAGCATTAACCAGTTTAACTGCGCAAATAAAAGCAACTAAGTGGGTTTTCAATAATGTTTAAACCACCCGTAAAATAAAAATTTTAAATGACTTACATATGTAATTGTTAAATTTGATTTGATATTGGATTTAGTCATTTTACGAAAACAATTTATTTTTCAAAAATTTTGAAAAATATTTTTTTTTTTGTGTCTGAGGCAGCAAAGCGATTAATTTAAGAACAAACTGATAGAAATGTGCTAAAAAATGAATGCACTTAAAGCTAAACGGGTATTTTTATACGGTACAAGTTAGCTTGCGAAGGAACAAGTTGGCTTACTATAGTATTGCATCAGGGTATTGCCTATAGTAAATTTTTTGAGCAAAAGATTTCTAAAGAGATTACAGGATAATGGGATCAGGGATGAATGAAATTTCATTTCAAATGAACTACATTTAATCTCTTAAACTTTTAATCATTTGAAATTTAATTAATTTCGACTTGTCTATTCTTGTCTATTAAAATTTCTAGTTTTCACGCAATCATTACAAAGTGAATACGAGCAATATATTTTGTTTTTTTTTGATAAAATTTATTTCATATTCCACTTAAAAGTACTTGTTGTATACAATATTTTAAGTTTTAATATTAAAATTGAAAAAAAAATTTCTATCGCAAAATATTCATTGAAATTAAATTAAAAATATTTGATTTATTTTAAATTATATATTCTTTCACGATAACATCCACAAACGCCGTTTTCAATACATCTACCGGCTGCGTATCTTGTACTGATAAAACAGTAAACTGTGCAAGCCTCATCCCCTGCCGGGCCAACACTACAGGTATGTCGAAATTTTACCTTGATTTCATCATCCTCTGCTGCTACTACAGTAATTACAAGAGCAATAAATAGTAAAATTTTCATTAGTAAAGAATTCATTTTATTAAAATTTGTATGTTCAATATTAAGTTTCTTTTAGATTTATCTACTTTCAACTGGTCCAGTTTATTTAAAATTCTTTATTTATATTCAAATCTAAAGTTCCAAAATTGTGTATGTTCTATAAAAATAAAATATTTGCAAATAAAAATTTCTCAATATATTTACTTTATTTCGATTGATCTTTGATTGTTTGAATGTTAAGGCCTGTATATAAAATTTTTTAGTGTAAATATTTAAAACAATCACAAATTGTGTATGTATGTAACTGTGTAAATTATAACTTATATACAAGCTGCTTTTTAACATTGTCTTAATAGTTAATTTTTATTAATATCAACTTCATTACTGACCGAATATTTATTCGTATTATCACCAAGATCACTACCCCAGTGTAAACGATAAAATTATCGTTTTCACTTCATAACTTTCATTATTATTGATTTGTATATCTTCTAATCTATTAAACACCAAAACATTGTTGTATTTGGCGTACTTTTATTAAATGATTTTCTAGAATCGCGGCATACTGTCCCCTTTTATGACAAATATAATATTATGTTCTATTACGCATTTTGCCATTCGATGACGCGTTTGTTTTTTTTTTTTTGCATTAAATTGTCTAACTTCGGATTTTAAATAAAATGCTTTTTTTCGCAAATGGTCAATATCGGACACATTTGAGTCTGAAACCTTCTTCAAGTAATTTTGCTTTAAGATTTGTGGGATCAGGTGAAATATTTCTGGATTCAATCGCAATAACGAAATTTTGGAATGATTTTTGTAAACCAGATAACATCACGATTGAAATCAATTCTTCTGGTAGTTTACTATTTATTTCAGAAAGCTTTTCATTTAAATCAAATTTCAATTTAATCTCAAATTCAGAAGTTCTTTAAACAAATTTACCTTACGTATTGGATCACTCGGCTGGCGTATTACTTCTTGTTGTTCATAAGCTGATGAACTACTTTTTATGTTATTATGTTAAAATTTGGCTTGATTTTAAGTTTAAAATAATAACTGTTAGCGGTTTTTCATTTTTTTCTTCGCATAATTCAACACCTTTAGTTCGATCATCTTTAAATTTGTGTCAGCCGTGTTTAATACTTAAGAATTGAATGAGAAATATGAATAAATTATGACATACTTGTCAAACTTAAAAAAGTGCGTTGCCACACTTAGAAAAGTTAAACCAAAGTACATAAGTTTCCCAAAAAATCTTCAAGTTTTATGATATTTATTAAAAATATGAATTGGTTTGATATTTTCATTTTGAAAAGTACTGCGGCTGGATAATTCAACTAGTAATTTTTTATTATTTACATTTTATACAGCCTTATTTACACAAATGGATACGGCTTAACTTAGTAACAGTACATACATATGTACATACTATATTTTGCAAATTTTGATATTTTATGTATTTTAAAATAACTTGAAATAAATTCACAAATAATAAAGTATATTGACTTTTCTATACAAAATCTTATTTAACAGTTTTCTACTTATCTGTATACATAGTTAGTTATAAAATATTTAGCTTGTAATATATAGAGTAGGAGTACTAGTTTCCGAATAGTTGCAGTATCCGAAAACTTCGCTGGTTTTTTTTTATTAAAATAAGAATTTTTTCCAAGAAATCATTGAATCCAAAAACGCAAAAAAAAATGTTTACGTGTTGTGCTAGTGCTTGTAAAATTTGTACGAATTCTGAAAGTATAAAAAAGTAAAAACGTTTCAGTCGGTATAAACCGATTGAATTATACCCTGCACCTTTCGTTGTTGTATAGCAATTACTCAAACCTGTGAAACCATTCTATAGAAGCTTCACTGATATGTCTGATCTATAATTGGGCACATGACTGCCAAGTTTCATGAATGTGACTTTATTATTTTTCCAAATATTTAGAATAAACATTTGGACTTGTATGGGAGCTACTGGAACCTGTCAAGCGATACCACCAAAACTTCAGAAATATGTCTGACCTATAATTAGAAACACGACTGCCAAGTCTCATGAATCTGACTTTATTATTTTTCTAAATATTTAAAATTAGCTTTTAGACTTGTATGGGAGCTTCTCGAACCTGTCAAGCAATTCCACTAAAACTGCGCAAATATATCTGATCTATAATTGGACACACAATTGCCAACTTTCATGAATCTGACTTTATTATTCTTCCAAATATTTAAAAATTAGCTCTAGAGTTGTATGGCAGCCAGCGGAACCGGTGCAGCTATCTCATTAAAATTTTTAGAGCATATTATGTAGAATATAACTGAATATTATGTATACAAAATTTTATAATTATACCTTTATCACTTTTTGAAATATTTAAAATAAACTCTTTGAGTTGTATGGCAGCTAATCGAACGCGTTTTCCAAATTAGTCCAATTACAATAAGGTTCGTCCATGGCACAAAAGAAAAAACTTGTGAAAGTGTGATGTCGATTGCATTATTCGTTTTTTCATTCGAAGGGCAGATGTTTCAGATGCCGAATATGGATTACGGCCAATAATACTTCTTGATTAATTAAAGCGTAAGAGGTAAATTGTAGAACAGTCAACCAAAATGGGCCCAGATTCATATTTATTACCCGACGGGGAAATACAAATAGCCCAGTGCTGTATTAACTTATGCAAATGTGAACTGTCCCAAATACTGTGCAAAAAATATTTCAAGACAGTAATGAGTAAATGAAAAACACCTTTTAGAAATGATCGCTCAGGAAAATCATGGATGCGTTCCTTTATGAAGCAAAATCCTAAAATAACAATAAGAGAAGCTGAAAATATTACCAAAGGTAGAGTGGCAATCACTATGGCAAGCATAATGAAATGGTTTAACAATCTGAAAGACTACTTAAAAAGTATAAACCAAGAATATATTATGAACGACCCTTCAAAACTAAATCGCGAAGAAAATAGCTTAGAGGTAAAAACATTGTCAAAAAAGAGGGTGAGGGCCAATTTCCCAGCCCAATTTCACCTGAAGTCTGACGGAAAATTTATGACAAAAATAAAAATAAAAGCAGAAAAAAACTGAACAGTTAAAAAACGGAGAGAAGAAAAAATAAAAAAAAATAAAACGAAAATGCTTGGTAAAAAATGAAAACCTGCTAAAAACAAGGAGCGCTGCCAAAATTGTGGAGAAGAGCAATAGAGTAACATTGGGAATAACGAGTTAAACAATATTGGTTGTGATAACTGTATTGGATGGTTTCATCTTATATTCTTGTTAAATTTAGATGAATTAGTATTAATTATTTATTCAATCATTACACCGTTTTGAAATTAATTTTAATATTTGTAAAAAAAAACAAGTTTTTTAAATGGAAAGTTAGTTTTATCCTTTTATGATGAAGTAGCTCTCACTACCATTATATTCCCCTGACCTGACGCGTATGTAGACAATCTGCAAAATAATCTGCTTGTGTTAAATTTTAGTGTTTCTATTAATGTGGTTATGTGGCACCTTCAAGCGTATTTGAAATCTCTTTTATGTCCATACAAACGAGTTCAAACCGACTTCATCCAAGTCAATCGAAAAATTTTGCTTACTTGATTTGAAATGTTAATAATGACGTTAATAATGTAATAGCTAAACATAATTTTCAAGCCAAAATTAGTAAAAACGCAGCAAAGTGAGTTTCAAGATGTTTTCAAGTCAAATACTCGAACTGCCATATGAACATGGTATATTACGGGTACTGAAGAGTGTTGTTAATTTCAACTTGTTTTTCAGTAGTGTTTTGTCTTGAAAAAGTATTTTGGAGAGTTTTAGCGTAGTAATTTGGGGTTATCCTTAATACCAAACAAATAGCAAGGCATCTCGCTAAATAGATGCGTAGCAGGAAATGCTTGCGTAAAAATGTTTTTATATTTGTAAACCAAGTCACCTAAATTAGCTACGCGCCTACGCAACGTATTGATATTTTCGATTTTGGCAACGTTAGGTACATTTTTTTCTGTTTTTTGATTTTTTTTTTGTCAAATTGATCTGGTTACTGCCAATTAACATATTGCATAAAGCGCGAACTTAAACATTAATTATATAAACTTTTTTTGGAAAATAATTTTTAATTTTAGAAAAAAAAATTTTTATATATTTAAGGTCTTTTTATTTTTGTGCAAGTGGTATTTTAATGGCATTTTCATAAACCAATACAATAATGACATTTTAGTATAAAGGTAAAAAAGTAGTAAAAATCGCTTTGCAGTACCAAAGTAGTACAGAATGCCAAAATGTAGTAAAATACTACAATTGTAGTAAAATTAACAACACTGATACTGAAATAAATTAAAGATAGAAGAAATATGTACATTATAATGCATCGAAAAAATTATGACATTAATTTGTTACACCCCTGCTATTTTATCATTTGTTTTTATTTTGCACGTGTGATTTTGACATTTTGTACGTTCTTAAACATTGTATATTTTTTAATTTTTAATTTGGATTGAAAATATTTCTTTTAATACCTTTAAAATAGTTTTTTATCTGCTTTGGGAGAAATAATCATCTCTCGAATCAAAAGGTAATGGTTAGCATTAAGTGTGTAATGTCTTTATTCTCCTAAGTGGTTTTTTTTGATAAAATTTTAGATGCATGATAATAAGGAGAAAGAACCTCGAAAAGCATTAAAGGCTTTTTGCAAAAAATTAATGAAGGTTACAGGTAACGCTGAAGATTTTTTAGAGTAAGTTTTCAATTGCAATTGACTCAAAGGGTATTTTATTATTATATCAATTAATTTATTTTAGTCCCACGCCTGTTAAGATTCAGGAAATCACAAAATTTTTGAAGGATTTTTATAATTTTACAACTAATCAGTCAAACGTTGCAAAAGAAAACAATGAAATTCTGCCAGAATTGGTTTTAGAATCAATGGACACAGAATGCATATGGCAACAATTAGAAATTCGTAATAATTATGAGATGACGGTAATTTTAGAAAATGTTTCAAAGGCTCTTGCGATCCCCGAAAATTCTTTGCATTTTAAAATTAAAAGTGAAGAAGATGAAAGCAATTTGTCTACCAATGGTGCAAGCATAGACCAAGAAAATATCGCTAATAAACAAAGTGGGAGTTACAATGAAGAAAATTCACCTAATTTGAAAAAGGAAAAAGTAAAACCTGTTAAAAAAAAGAAAAACAAAGTGAAACCATCAGTAGTCGATGACAAATTTTTTAAACTTAGTGAACTCGACGAATTTTTGACACAGGAGGATAAAAAAGAAATGAAAAGAAGTTCTAAGAAATTTGGAGAGAATGAAGAATATGATGGTATAGATTTTTTCTCTGAAGAGCTTGGAGCAGGAAGTGAAGTAGAAGAGGATGAAGAAAATGTTAATTATAAGGATTTCTTTGATGATGCCAGTGGAAGTGAACATGATGTTGAAAGAGAAAACCTGGCCAATGAACAGGATTCCGATAGGGAAGGTTCAGATAATGATTCTAAAGATGCTGAAAAGTCTGTTGACAAGGCTCAAAATATCAACCACGAGGAGGATGACTCTGAAGAAGAAGAAGTAGATAATGAAGAAGAAGAAGAGCAGGATGATGAAGAAAATTTTGACAAAAATATGGAAAAGAAACAAAATAGAAACGGTTTGGAAAGCGATAGTGAAGATGATAATGAAGAAGATTCGGAAAATGAGAGTCAGTCTTCCAAAGGCAATATTTCCGACAAAGACGATCCAAAATCATCATATGAATTACGACAAAAGAGATTAAAGGAACGCATAACAGAATTAGAAGATAAAGCATTGTCTGAAAAACCATGGCAATTAAAGGGTGAAATTAAAGCAACCAGTAGACCCCAAAATTCTTTATTGGAAGAAGTTTTGGAATTTGACGCAGGTACTCGTCCAGCGCCAATCATAACACAAGAAACTAATTTAAAATTAGAAGATATTATACGACAACGTATCAAAGATCAATCATGGGATGATCCTGAAAGGAAAGTAAGACCGGTCAATATTCCCCAAGATTTCCGTAAAAAACTAGTTTTAGATGGTGAAAAAAGCAAAGAATCTTTAGCCCAGATATACGAGAAAGAATATCAAAAGCAAATAGAAAAATTGAATAATGGTGAAGATGCTACTGAAAATGAAGAACTATCTAAAGAACACAAAGAAATACAAGTTATGATGGAAGATTTATTTAGAAAATTAGATGCTTTATCAAATTTCCATTTTACACCCAAGCCGGCATTTGCAGAACCAAAAATTATTACAAATACACCTGCCATAACAATAGAAGAGGTGGCACCGATTGCGGTTAGTGATGCTCAATTATTAGCTCCTGAAGAAATAAAAAGTGGTTCTAAAGGAGACGTTCTGGGAAAATCTGAACGTTCAAAAACTGACAAAAATAGGGAAAGGCGCCATAAGAAACATTTCCAGAAGAGAGTTTTTAAACAAAAGGAAGAACGTGAACTACAAAAACAGAAAGCTGGAATTCCACTAACAAAGAAAGAAGATAAAGAAAGAGCTCTTAGAAATGTTATAAAAAATAGGAATATTTCTAAAGTGAGTAAAATCAAATTTCATATCTACATAGTATAAATAAATTTCATATTTTTTTTTTTCATATCTACGTAGATGACTGAAACTTCTGATAAAACAATAAAATCATCAAAATCATTTTTCAATCAATTGCAAGGTGATACAGAATTGGGTGTTAAAGTTAAAAGGAAAAAAGGAAATAAATTTGGTGACAATTCAGATTTATCAGCGAAAAAATTAAAATTATAGATAAATTTTTCAGAACACTTGTATTTGTACATAATCGAGTTTAAAATTGCTATAAATAATAAAAACTAGTTTTACATACATAAATATAAGATTTCGTTAAAATATTATAATGTTTCCTATGTTTTTTAAATTCTGTATATTTCTTATAAATATGTAAATACGTTCAGATATTCAGCGCAAATTTCTATTATTTAAAAGAATAATCTTTTGAAAGTTGTACGGAAAACATAAGAGGAGTATCAAAAAATTAAAAATGCTGATTAAGAATATGATTAAGTATGATTTTATTAAGAAAACGTTTATGATATCCGAGAAGACAATATAAGTAGATAGCTTTTAAATAAGCCATGACATTGAGGAGGAGCAATAGAAAAATTTTTTGTATTAATAAAAATTTCTTGAATTTTTTACAAATGAAAATTTTTAATATCTATTATAGATTTTATGAGTAATTATTTATAATATTAGCAATATTCAATTATTTCACTAGAATATTTTATATGAATTGTGTACCAATTACGAACCGTTGTAGTACAAGCATGATTTTTTCATGTTAAAAATATTCATTCATTATCCTTAATTTTTAAAAAATGCGAAATTTTCTTTTTTATTTATTTGAGTATGTGCGTATATATGTAAATATATATTTTCTTTTATCATTCGATATAAATTTAGAATTTTTCTCTTTATAAAAAATTCCTTAAAAGTTTTCATTTTAGCATTTTCTTTTTTGTTGAAATTTCAAAGAAAATTGGAAAATTTCATGCATACAATGGTTGCAAAGTACTGATATACAAGTACATATATAGTTTGTTATATGGAATAATGACATTAGATTTTCTAACGTGTTATAGGGAATAAAATATATTCTAATTTAATTAAAATAAATGTAACGAATGTATGCATTAAAATACTTATGAGTATAATGGTACATACGTATTCAAATATATTATTTAATATATTCGTAAACTTAATACGTTCAAAAAAAAAGTAAATTAATAATAAATACCTCCAAAACTTTTTCTCTATTCTTAAGTTCATTTTGGTTTTGCTTTTTTTTGTGTATTTTCAAAAACTTTTACCTACATAGGTAGTACATTAAAATAAAAAAAAAGTAAAAGAAACAAAAAGACGAACTTGAATTTAAGTAGTTTGAGAATGTGAGAAAAAAAAAACTTAACAAAAACTTAATAAAATAAAATTTATATACCTACATACACAATATTCTTGTTCACATTATTTTACGTGCGTGAAGTTCAAGATTATTTTCTTGTTTTCCCGATTTACTTGTAAATAGTATAAGTAATCATACAATATGAATATTTTATTTTTTTGGTTTCTTACAAACAACATTGAAGTATATTAGAGCTATGATCTGGGTAGATATCAAGATTTTGATTAACTTAATCATTTCAAATTTAATTTATGCATTTTAAAGATTTAGATATTTGTTTGGAACAATAAATTTTGAAAGTGCGGTAAATAAAATGGAAGGTGCGCAAGTGCGGTGTGCGATAACATTGACTTACATTGATCAAATTTGGTAAGGGATCAGGCAGACATGCAATTTTTAGTTTTGTAATTGCTACTTGATTAAAAAAATACATCTAACAAACTAAACTAAAGCGTCAATTCAGATTAAATACGTTAAATGCAAATTGTAATCAGTTTGTTGAAAAATTATAAGCTGTTTGCTTAATTGTATGCCAGCATACAGTTGCATGTGAGTGCGCTTGATTATAACTCTTTGGAATACAAATAAGTAATTAAACAATTGCAAAACTGATAGTTGCATGTTTATCTGAGCTCTAATTTGTAATTTTATTAACAATTTCCAATTTTGGAACTTTCAGTGTGAATTTATGGGAAACACGCTTCCTTGACATGGGAAGTTTTATAATTTTGTAGAAATATTTTAGTGTGTAATGCGTGCCCACAATAAAATTGTTAAAAATTCTAGATGGTTTGGGAAAGTTACAAAACGTTGTTATTTATTTTTAAAGAATAAATATATGTATATAATATACATATAAATATATGTACATACATACAATCTATGAACATTTTTGTTGATTTTTTCTTCTCTATTAAAAAATATTTTTCTTAAATGTTTAAATGTTTTTTTTTTTAAAGAATCTATGTGCATACTAATAATGTTGTTAAAGTTTGTTATAAAATATTTTACATACATAGTTATACACACGTTGACCATAAAGCGTTTAGAGTACAAAAAAAAAATTCATGCAAAAACAAAAAACATTTTGTTTTTATTATTTCTTAAATGAAAATTTATTTAAAATTAATTATAAAATTTTATGGTAGTTATCGAATTTGATAAAAAAATTTTTTAAATTGCAAAAATAAGAAGTTATGGTGACCATATTTTTAATATGTTTTTTGAAAAGATTTTCGCGTTGAATTCTTCTTATATTTAATTGCATTAAACACAGACGAATGTACTCGCAAGCAATGGAAAAGTTTTCAATTGCAAAAATTTTATGAGAATGCAATAGCCTATAAAATCTTGAAACGGTTAGACATTAAATTTTTCTATTTTGAATTAGTTTTAAATAATAAATTTCTGTAGCATTGTAAGGCGGGATCTAAGTAAACAATTGAATTTTAATAATTAATTCTGTATTTAAAATTACATTAAGTAAAATCTTGTTACCTTTGAACGATTTTATATTGATAAAAATGAAGTATGAAAAACCAGTCAGAAAACTTACTGTAAAAATTAATAATTAACTAGTCTTACGTAATATGAATTAGCTTTTAATAATTTTTCAAATGTTTAAGAGTAATAACTACAGTATTTTAAATATTTATAGCCCAATTTAATAAAAGTTTGCCTCTAAAATTTTGAAAAATTACAAGTGATTACAAGTGATACAGAATACAAAGAAATACCCTATCATGCCCTAATTATTAAGCTGCTGTTTTTTATAAAATGGTCTCTTTAAAAATGTTTACAAAAAAAATGAACATCCTGATCTCATATTATATGCGTGTCATATGTTATGCTCTCACATTTTCATATAATTTTTTAAACAAAAATATTTAATACTTGTAATGTAAAACCTATACTTATATTCTATAGTTCAACGATGGTATATTGAACATTACTCGTATAGAAATATGTATGTAGGGCTATACATATATTTAAGAAAACACCATATTTTTATAGTAACTTTTTCCTTAAAAATTTTATTTTTGGTATTTGTTTTTTTCTCTTTTATTAAAATTATGTATGTGTTAAAAATTCTTTGATGACATTGAATAAATTTAGGTTTGGCGTTTAAATTTAGAAATATGGAGGAAAAAAAAAGAAATAGAAGAAAGTGTTTATATTGTTTATGAAAACCAGGAATCTTAGGTTGATGCCATTTTTACACTTTATAAAAATAATTTTCTTTTTTTTTTGTTTTATTATACAAGGTTCGTTCTTTTTTAATCTGGTAGTAAAAATAAAACTTATGCAACACTCGGAAATATGAAGACACATTTTAAAAAATTTTGAAGAAATAAAAAATTTTCTTTTGGAATTAAAATTTATAACGTAGGTATATGTGGAGTAGCTAACAGTATTTAAATAGGGTTACCTTCATCAGTTTTTGTAAATGTATTTGTGGCATGAATCTTAAGAAAAATGAAGATATAGTATTTAAGTAACAAGTGAAATTCTGTAAATATTTATAATGGCAATAAAGATTAAAGCATCGATCAATAAGTCCGTAGGATGGCTAATAAAACAACATCATTTTGACATAATTTGATTTTATTCATCAACATAGTCTCCTTTTAAGGCGATACAGTAATTTCAGCGCTTCTCTAACTTTTCTATACCATGTTTGTAGAGCGATTTATATTTTCTTTCAAAATATTCTTCAGCTTCGGTGATGACCTCCTAATTCGATCCAAATCTCTTTCCCTAGAGCATCTTTTTGAGATATGAGAACAGCTAATAATCACTGGGGGCTAAATCAGGTGAGTATGGTGAATGAGAACATGAAATTCTGATTTTTCCATTTTTTTTCAATTCACAAAAATTGATCCAATCGTTCACACACTATGAAATTTTGACTGATATTGTTTGAAGGTTGGTCCTTTCTAAAAACCATACGGATTCGGTATATTAGTAAAAATTATGATTTCTCCAACATTTGTGTTATATAGGTATTTAATTAAATTTAATTTATATTAATATATATTTAAAATAATCTTTAATTAAAATAAATTATGTGTGTAAATATTTAATTTTTTCGAAATCACAAAATTGTATAAAAATATTTATTTCGTGTAGCAAATCGGATTCGGTATTGAAAGACATATTACATGAGACCCTAAAATGAAACTGGAATCAAATTGAAATATGAAATGTATATACATATATACATTAAATTGTCCTAACTTTGTTTTTGTTTTTAATAAAAATTATGCAATATTTTCAATTAAAATTTTTAAGTAATGAAACCCATATTATTAAATGCAATTATATAAATTTTAAATATGCTTGTATTAACTGTTTCTATATTCTACTTTAGGTAGATACACCCGATTATAGATATTACAATTTACCTATTTTCTTATTTCCACAAAATTTAAATATTAAATACACCATTCATATAATATTGAAAAAGCGGTAACACTTGATCGGTAATATCGTTTTCCATTTTAAAATTTGTTATATTTAAGTATCTCATACATTAGTACTTGTAAAATATATTGTTTGTACACCTATGTAGTCTCATGTACAGATAAATTAATAGAAAATTAAAAAAAAAAAAATTATAAGAAAATAGGAAAACATGGTTTAATTTAATAATATATGTAATGTATATATAAGTAAGTGTGTAAAATGAAAACTTTTGTCGAATATTTAAAATAATTTTCCAAAAAATGAAACTTTTTCTTATTTTTGCAAAGTGAAAATGAAAAGTAGAAGAATGTGTTCATATTAAAATTATTTCGTACATCCACATATATCGATGGTGAAGTGCACAAATATGCTAAGTAGAAAATTTGAAATTTTACAAGAGAGCGTTTTAAAAGTTTGCAAATTTTCTGAATTTACTTGTATAGTTATATTTTTATTCTTTGACTTTTTTTAATTAAACTACTTAAATTATCTGACCATTGGTGCAGTGGTTATGGCACCGGCCCTTTAACCGAAGGGTCTCGGGTTCAAACCCCGGTCAGGTCACTATAAAAAATTATATTCAATATTATATAACTTAATATGCAATACTAATAAATATTATACAAGTAATTTTCAAATATTCAAGTATATGAGATACTAAAAAACTAAGAAAAAATAGAACAGTAAATATTAATAACCTCAAATAATTAATATAAAATAAAACTACGGCAGGCTAGTCACCTACCTAGTTAAACTCTATGACGCTATGAAACTAGAGCATGAGAAATCATGCACTAGCCCTATGCTCCTTCTAGGAGTGAAGAAGGAAAAAGAAAACTACTTAAATTAGTTTTTGATTTCAAATAAATATTTTTTTAAT